GTTTCTACGTGGAAACGGAAATCAAGCTGGAAGTTGTCAAAAAATGATCAAGCTGGAAGGAGTCAACAACAATTCCACTTTTTCAATAGCGGCTGGGAGGAAGATCTGAAGAACTATCGTCTAATCTGCCTGCTCTCACATATCTACAAGCTGCTCACTATGATCAATACCAAATGAAGCGTAACATGCTGCGGAGTGCGCTGGCAGAACAGCGCATTAACACCTGTTACATCAACCTGCTAAAGGAAGCGAACTCTGGTCGCTTCACTAACATCATGCTGTTTTTGACACCTCCTGCGGTTTCTCGTAAGGAAGGACGTGACATGACGGGACACCGTCGCTCCAAAACGCTTCACGGGCTGTTTGAAAATGGTGTTCCGCAGTATGAACTATAAGGGTGGGATTAACATCAGCGGTAAACAGTTCAGCCACCTAAAGTTCATAGTGTTGTTTTGCGGAAAACATCAGTTAGCTACAAGGATAATACAAGAGCTCGGTAGAAAAGGGCAAAAGTCGGATTGCAGACCGGTCGATCAACGAAGAAGATTCTGCGATTCGATGTCCTGCCGAAGGCCCAGACAATATCAGATGGTGAAAAGATCGATGACGATGGATACATTTACCTGGGCGAGGAGGCGAACCTCAGGCATGATCAGCTGAAGAGATTCAACGAAGAAAACAGGCAGGTTGGTGCGTTCCATTTCATCAAGGAACGTCCTCCTAGGCAACATTAGGAAAGGAACCCCTCGTCCACTTCTTCAATTTTACCGTCCTGCCGGCTATATTGTGCGACGGTCAGAATTGGTCACTCAGTAACGCCGAAGAGCGCCAACTATTTGTCACCTCGATAGCTAAGGAAAGAAGAATGTTGGGAATTTCACATTGGGATCTCATCCCCAACACTGTGATTAGACAGCAGAAGGGGATGAAGGATGCCGTCATCGAAGATAGGAGGGAGAAACCATGGTGGGCCGGCCACGTAGCTTATTGACAGATAATCGGCGATTATCGTCGACTGGTAACGTTGTGAACGTTCTAGGCAGCGTGGTCGACCACCATGACGGTTTGAAGATTATATCAGAATCTGGATGGACTGTGCTTGTAGAGAGAGTGCTCGAAATCGCCAGGAATGAGGTTGTATTACGGCAGGCGCGATTCTTTGCCGATTACTAAGCGGTCCAAGTGATCCACGTGAAAAATAAAGGTCATGAAAGCTTATAGGAATTTAAGGAGCTTAGGCCTTTTTTACTTTATCGTCTTTCATATAATCGTTAGAGACGCATACGTCTGCACATAACTTTCGCATTTTCTCGTGGTTGCTGCCAAAAATAGTTTGTCTGACGGTATTCAATCATCTCGTAAGAAGGTGCCCTAATGACGTTTTGATATAGGTCCCTAAAAGTTTTTACTGACCTGCTGCCATTCACTCGCAAGCAGTGATCTATCAAGTCAGTTATCTGGTCTTCGACAATCTGACACTTTGTTAACTTATAAAATTCATGGTCAAATTCGGCATTCCACACATAATCAGCCAACCCAACATTAATTATTGGTCGAAGTATCATCATATCAGTTGATTCTAGCTTCTTTCTGCGATGAGATTTATCCGGTCTTGTCGTTTGCCGATCATCAGGTAGGACATTCAGAATGCTAGGTTTGTACACATACTTTCGTCTCATGAACTATGCATCAATCATTCCAGAATTAACTTTCCAGAAGCAGATGCAGCTAAAGTGCATCCTTCTTGACTGTTCGTATAATGCTCAAAAAAGTTAAAGAACTACCTTCTGCAATTTTACTTTTACTGCAGAGACAGATTAAGAAAGATAGACTGATGGTAATTTGAGTTATTTTCCTTTTCATTGTGTGTTCATTGTTTTATTGTGCTAGCCAGAGACATGCTTCCTCAAAGCACATTTTGGCAAGAGCAGCAGGTCCTAAAATCATCGCTGTCAACCTGTCCGTGAGTTAACATATGTCACTGATAATTGCAAGTTGTACGGTCATAGAATCTTTAACTTGAAGGCAGCCGACAAGTCACAACAAACAAGCGCTATAGCTATAGCTAATCTTTTCCGATGTCAAAGATGGTCTAAGATCTGCCTCTAAGCTTGCTTCCTACTTTTAAATTGGAAATTTGAATTATTGCAAAATTTCTTAAAATTGATTTGAATAGTCCTGGATAGAGCATATCACATATGTACTAAGGGATAGCCCCGATGATCTGACAGCTACTACCAGTGGCAGAATACGGCATAATTCTGCTATTTTCAAACAAGCAAGTTTCGATACTGAGTGAAACGCGATCGTAAAATCCATGAAACATACATGGAAACAGTTTGAGATGCCATTACTACGCCTCCATCAATCAGTGAAAGGTGACACTTAAATCGATCCAGCTTCTACCTGCGCGAATCACCCTCTGCTGTTGGCTAACAGTTGGTTCTAGGCCAATATATTTTGTTTGTTTATGACCCTCTTGGTATTTTACGAGACACAGTGTAGTACTTTTGTAGTCGTCTAGATCAGTGCTGCCTCTTCTTCAGTACAAACACATCTTTCAGCGAACCTGCAGA